CCATAAGTAGTCATCAGGATGGAAGAATCAATAGTACCATTCAATTAATCAGTGAACTGATCAGTCAATCATTCAATCAATCAATCAATCAACTAATCAATAGTATCATAAGTAGTCATCAGGATGGAAGAATCAATAGTACCATTCAATTAATCAGTGAACTGATCGGTCAATCATTCAATCAATCAATCAATCAACTAATCAATAGTATCATAAGTAGCCATCAAGATGGAAGAATCAATAGTACCATTCAATTAATCAGTGAACTGATCAGTCAATCAATCAATCAATCAATCAATCAACTAATCAATGGTGCTATAAGTAGTCAACACGATGGAAGAGATAATTAAAATTGATTGTATGCAATTTGTTTGAACTAAATTTAACTTTTTAAATGTCACAAATTGTAAACTGAAAAATTTTCCAAAAATGGTCAGAAAAAAAAAAAAGAAGATTTACATTATTATCATTATATTCTGATGGTTCTGATTTAAGAAAATCATATTCATCATTAATCACATCAATAAAATTCTCCCATTTTTCCCGATGTTCATCATTTAACATTGCCGCGCATTTTCTCATCAATTTAGTCTGTCGCTCTTCCTGAAAAAGAAAAGAAAAAAGAAAAAGAAAGAAAGAAAATGAAAATGAAAAAAGTTAAATTTGTAAGAAGGATTACAACATAGATATTTCATTAAGTCTTTATTGATTTAGGCTAATTATTTCATTTATTTCGATCTTCCTTTAACTTGGCTCTTTTCATTGTCTCAATCATTAAACTCGTTTAGAATTATGTGTTGAGATATTGAGAAAAAAAAAGAAAAAAAGAAGCCTAATAAAATAAGCAAATTGAGGGAAGTAAAATAAAAAATTAGCATATTGAAGCATCAACAAAACATTTCTATAGTAAATCATTTTAATTAATTGCAAGTTATTCTAATTGGTTCTAATTAATTGCATTTTAATTACTTGGATGCTAGACATATTAACTTATTTTCCTATTATAAATTATGGGGAAAAAAAAAAAATGTCTCGTAGAAAAATTAATACCTATTCTACGTATTATACATAAATACCTGATATTTAATTAATGGGAAAGTTAATTAGGCTAATATTTAATTAATGAGGAGGTTAATTAGGCTGATACTTGATTAATGAGAGAATTAATTAGTCCAAAAAATATCACAAAATGAATGAAATACTTACGGAAGCAGTAGTGAGAAATATTAATGTATGTATTTCTTTTCGTGTTCGTATTCGTAATTCATTTAAATGTCCTTCCAATTCATCTTTTGGTGGCGGACTATATTCACGTTTAAACCAAAAACGTTTCAGGACATCTAAATCTTTACATTTTTTCTTCTTCCTTCTTGGCTTCTTTTTCTTCCCTTGGCTTCCAGATATTCTTTGATCAATTCTTTCAGAATCTATCATTTGTGATGTACCAGCAATAAGTTCCTCTTCAGCTTCAGTTTGACCAACATCATCATCTTTATCCTCTGTATCTTCTCCAGAATCCATCATTTGCAATGTATCACCATCCAATTCTTCTTGACCTTCAGTTCGAGTAACATTCCTATTTTCCGTATCTCTTCCAGAATCCTGTTTCTCTTCGTCCGAATCTTCGCTCAATTCACCCTTAGATATTTTCAAACATTTCCCACATTTTCGTCGATATTTACTTGCAAGATGTGGTAATTCCAGTTCATCCCTAATATGTGTATATCGAAATCGTTGTTCCATTAAATATGTCATATCCAAGCATTGTAATTCTTTCATTATTACCGTAGAATCGAAAAAGAAATCAGGAAAATAGTAATAATAAGGATGAAAAATAACAGTTGAAGTGAAATTATTGAGTTCTTTTTTTACTTGCGGTAATATTTTTCTATTCGATATTTCCTGAAAATTGGATTCAGATTATTTAACCGGAAATATAATTTAATCATTCATTTTGAAAATTGATAATTAATGTAAAATATAACTAAAGTATTAGAAATTTTTAGGTAAAATTTAGAGGACAAAATAAATTATTAATCAATTTGTAGGCTTTTGATTAGATTATTCTTTCGAATTTATTGCCAGGAATAGGTATAAAGTTAAAAGAAATGAAAAATTCTAAGCAAACATATCGTCCTTTGATTTTGATCAAAAAGCCATCAGTATATTAGACATTTTATGATATATCATTGTTATTTTAGGATGAAAGGTAAAATTTTTGAGAATAGAATAGATTATTAATTGATATGTAGGAGGCGTTTTGATTGAATTACAAATTACATTGATCAGAATTGATTGATCAGGAAAAAGAAATCAATAAATTCCTTACCTCAATCCAATCTTCACATAAATCAATAAATGGATTATACGGAATACTCATTTTGTGATACCGTGATTGTGATAACTATAAAGTCAAACTAACTAAAGTTTATTTATCCTGATAAGCGCGCTTTTATGAGCAAGATCAAAAACATTTTTGTTTTTTAGGGGAGTTTTTTTTCTTTTTTTTCCTATTATTTTCCTTTTTTTAACTAACAGAGCAAAAAATAATCTCGGGAAAAATCGTGGAAAAAAAAAGTTCTGGAAAAATACCATCTCTTAAATAAAAAATTACAATGTATTAAAGGGATGATAAAGTGATAACAACGAATGTATGATTAATTGATATTAATGAATAACCAACTACAAATGTTATATCCCATTTCCATGTTAATCTTCTTGATGTTATTTGGGATTTACAATATATCCCAGAGAATTGTCAAATTTAAATTTTGCCGAAATTATTTCGGACATCGGAACATAACAAATTTTTCTTATTTTATAAATTGTCCACTAATTGTTTTTTTTTGATGTCACACTTTTACAATGCAATATGACATTGTCCAAATTATCATAGACGGTAATGTCCATTCTCTTCTCCTCTTATTTCGTTTCCTTCTTTTTACTTCTTCCCTTCTTGATTGACAGTATGTGACAAAAAAAAAAAAAAGTTTATTTGAAGATAAATTTATTTATTTCATGCCTGACGAATTTCAAAAACAGCCAACAATACAAAAAACAAGGTGAATCAATTTAAAATATTTAAGTGATAAGATGAATTTAGATGAAAATTGTTGGATATAAATATGGCTATTATTGATTAATTGATAAAATAAAGATGATATAAATCTTAGATATGAAAATGATAAATTTTGAAAAGATTCCATCTTAATGAGTAAATATTAATGCAAAAATTCAATTAAATAATAAATTGAAAGAGTATGAGGAATTAGAGAAAGGAAAGGACGGTGAAATATTAATGGTAAATATTGATAAGGAAATGATAAGGCAAAAATTTAAAAAGGGTAAATCGTAAAGAAATTTTGATTCAATTAATTAACTGTTTAAAGTATTAAGCTTATCAATATTCATTCATGATAAATATCCTCAGTAAATTCCTGGTACATTTAAATTTTTGCAATACTTTTAAAATTAAAATTGATATTATCAACTGTTAACGATTATCAATTCAAATTCTACACATTATTAACGATTATATGAGTAACAATGAATCCATACGTAATTATTAAAATTGCATTAAATTAAACATTTTCATATAAGTTGACAATAATTCATTAATTTTTACCGCCAACAATGATATTCCTATCACTAATAAAATTATTGCAATATCTTTCATCTTCTGCTAAATGTACTCAAAATATAATTTAATTTTTTTTGTTTGATTTTTTTTTAAATAAACAAAATTTATTTATAAGAATAAAAATGGGGAGAAAATATGCTAAATTATTGTTTAGAAAAAAAAAAGGAAAATAAACTTTACGAAATTTAACTTCTATTAAGGTCAAGTAATAATAATAATAATAACAATACAAACGATAATATGCCTAAATTATTGATCATAATGGACAAAATTTATATTTTAGATAATTTTAAATAAAATTGTGAACAGGTAAACAGTGATAGCAGTATCATTGTAAGCAGGTGTGATAGCAGTATCATTGTAAACAGGTGTGATAGCAATATCATTGTAAACAGGTGTGATAGCAATATCATTAGTACCAGCATTTGATAATTTCCAATTATTTATGAAATTCAGGAATGGGCAATATTTTAGAAAAAACAACAATAAAGTTTCATTTGTGCAGTATATTAGCTTGACATATTAGTTGACCGCCTGAAAAATTCATACTAATAGATTCTTTAAATGAACAAATGAACAAATGCGCATTTTCATATTTTTCACTATCTTAACAAGTTTAATTT